GTCCGGCGGGGGCGCAGCAGCTGCTGCTGTCGCCACCGCGCGCCGGGGCGGGAGCCTGAATTTATTTTGCTTTTTAAGGGACCAGCAGGGAGCATGATAGTGAAGGTGCTGCATTCTCACTCGGCCAACCACCATTTGAGTCCTAGGCTTGGTGGCTTGGAAATGATGCCTGGCATATATGTGCATGCCCAAAATCCTGAGAGGAGAATGGAGAAGGGGTTGTTGCATGCCTCCACAAGAATTAATTTCTCACTTATTCTCTCTCTGGCTTTTTTCTCTTTCTGGTGAACACACATGACCTATAGCAAAAACCTAAAGAAAACTGAATTAAACTCTTGCTTCAGAGAGGAAAAAAATGAAAATATTATTTTCCTTTCACATTCTGACTTTGTACTATGTGATTTTGCTTATATACATTCCAAACTGTATAGGAAAAAATCTGGCTTTTATAAGCTGGTTTAATTTCTTATATTTTTTCAAGCTGCAGTCCAATTAATAAAAGCAGTGAGGTGATGGATATGTGTACATAGCTGACTATCCTTTAATGAGAGAAATATTTTCTAAAAAAAGCATTTTTAGGGAGTTTTGTCATTGTGTGAACACTGTAGGCTACCTTTATACAAACCTAGATTATATCACACACTGCACATGGAATTTATATAGCCTAACCTATTATTTTGTGGGACGGATATAATATATACAGTTTATCACTGTCTAAAATGTCTTATGTCTTTATGGAGCATATGACTCTGTATATACACACACACACACACACACACACACACACACACACAAAAGAGTCTCTGTATAAAAAAAATTCTTGGGAACCAGCAGTTAGCGTAATGGCTATGTCACTGGACTCCCATGTAGTCAACTGCAGTTCACATCCCTGGACCAGGTGGCTTAAAGCTCATGCTGGGCGCGTGTGCGTGAGTGCACAAGATCCCGAGAGGAGAATGAAGGAGAAGGGATTGCGGCGTGACCATCTCCCCTGGGGGGTGATTTCTCGCTTTCTGTCTCTCTGTCTCTCTGAGTCTGTCTGGCTAGTGCACACACCCTAGAGCGAAAACCTCTCCAAAACAAAAGTAAATAAATAAATAAAAATGTTTATATATATATTCTAAAACCATTTATCATTTGTGAACAAAAAGTTCTTATACTTTGGTATACTATAGATTGTACATTAAGATACCATTCATGGAAACCAGCAGATGACCTGGTTTTTGAGGTACTGGACCACCACATGGACAACTATGGTTCACATCCCGAACCTGGCAGCTTGCTTTCTTACTTTCCCTCTGGGTCTGTCTCTGGTGAGTGCATGTGCCCTACAGCAAATTAAAATAATAATAATAACAATAACCAAACTTAAATCTTTCTTTTTAAAAGATAGATACCATTCATGTTTTTGTAGATAACATTCCCAAATTCTTTTGTTATTGTGCCTACCAATTTCTTAACTTTTATTTTTTCTTCATCTTCTTCAATTTGACCAGAGAAAGACAGAGACATAGAGAAAGAGGGAGAATGTGAAAGCAAGCCAACAAGTCCAGGACTTGAACTGTGATTGACCATGTGAGGGCCCAGCCACTTATTTACCATGCCAACTGCCAGTCCCTTGCACAACATTTTAAAAAATAATTATTTATTTAATTTATTATTTATTATTAGTGTTCTTAAACTTGATGAGAGAGAGAGATAGAGACAGAGAGAGAGAGAATGTGAAAGCCATTCAGTGGGTTCAGGATTAAAACTGTAACCAGTCATATGAGAATCCAGTGTCTTAACCACATCACCTGCCAGCCTCTTGCATATCATTCTTTGTTGTACTAAACATCTCAGAGTATTGACCATAATCTCAGGCAATTAGATGAGGCAGATGATTTATATAACAACCATGGTTTGGACATTTATGGTGTTAATACATAACAAGCAGTGCTCAACTGGCCTCAGAAGTCCACAAGTGGATTAACCACACTCTCATCATTTATCTGTTGGCTCTTTATTTTTAAGTTAAAACTTTTTATTGTATACCTACATATAACATTAGTAGATATTTCAAACAAACAAACAAACAAAACCAGAACCTAAAATTTTCTACCTAACTGGATATGAGGAAATACTATACATATTCTGTTAAAGACAACATAAGTTATATGAAGATGATATATATGTAATGTGTCACATGTATTCATGTGATTTTTTTGTTTGTTTGTTTGCTTGTTTGCTTTTATTTTGCTATAGGGTACCTACAGCCATTAAGAAACACAGAGAGAGAAAGAGGGAAAGTGGGAAAGCATTCCACCAAGGGAGATGATCATACAGCAATCTCTTCTCTTCCATTTTTCTCAGGATACTGGGCACATATGCACATGCCCTGATTGTGTTTTTCAAGCCATCAGTCTGGGATTTGAATTGTACATCCAGCCACTGTAACCATCACACCACCTAGCTGGCCCTCCATAGTGGCTTGGTGGTTAAGGGCTCTGGACTCCCACATGGCCGACTATGGTTCAAGTCTCGGACCTGGTGGCTTGGTTTCTCACTTCATCTCTCTCTCTGTCTCTCTCTGGTCAAACTGAAAAATAACAATGATAATAATAATAATAAATAAAGTTAAATAAAATAATTCAAAAAAGTATGTGGGATATATGAGAAAAGAAAAAAAATTATCAAGGGATGTAAATATTTTCAGACAAACAAAACCTGAAAGAATTTACCAGCACCAGACTAGATCTCCAAGAAGTTCTCAAGAGTGTGCTATATCAGGAAAATTAAATACAGACACATGGAAAGAAGAGTTCAGAAACTAAGAAAGTGGCCAACTTAATTGTAGGGACAAGTCTGGAGTTGAATATTATATCCCAGAATTTAATCGGGAAAACTGAACCAGAACAGAAGATAAAAGTACATGAGACTGATAGGTTCATGCACCTACCATTTGAACAGAATCCTAACCTGTTTCCTGGTTTTAAGCAAAGTTCCTTGGCATTTCTTTGATTTAAGTTAAAACTGGTTTTCTTAATAGTAATGAGTGAACTCACCATTGAAAGAGGGAAAGAATGTAAATTAAGTTAGAAAAAAAAGTTTCAGAAAAAAATATGTATTCGATGACTGCAGTAAGATATCTAGCCCCAGCTAGGTGCTACTTTATAGGATGTCTGAAGTTAGACATTTGTTCATGGAAATGTATATATAAGCTGTGTTTGCTATGAAAATACTTAGATTAATTAAGATCTTTAGTATTTCGATAAAATGTGGGGGAAAAACAGTATGAAATCAAATATAGATACCAGAGACAGTGGTGAAGTTAAGTGGGAAAGGGCAGAGGGTAAGAGATAGGGAATCAAGGATGGGGGAAAAGAAGCCAAACATACAGAAAACAAGAAATGGAAAATTATTTGCTGACAATAACATGTTTGTTGATGTGCTTGATTGAAACAATATACAGTGTACTCTGGATGGAAAATCTCATTTTGTATGCTGTAATGATGTACAGTGAATGAATGCAAATAAATAAATTTAAATTAAAAAAGAAAAATTCTAAAAAAATCACTTGATTGTACATAACATACATAGATAAGTCATTTTTACAAAATGACCAATTTCCC